AACATAATTATTAAGTTTGAATTGATAAAAAAATCGGAATAAAATTTTATTATTTTAAGGTTATCCAACTTGACTCGGTTACCATGGTGATTAAGATCCAAATATTGCAGGTGCTTGTCAAAATTGAAATTGAATTTAAGTTTTTTTAAGGAAAAAGTCTTATTTAATTGGTTTAAAAGGCTGTATTTAACTCAAAATTGGTTTATCTAGGGTATTATAAACAAGGTAAGTGGATTAAATTAAAAAAAGATATTTTTAATTTATTTCTCTTAATTAGAATCGTATTAAATTAATTACAATTGACGAATTTGTTATGAATGTGAGATAATCGTGAAGAATTCGAACTGTTTTAAAATTAATAAAAATTAGGTTAGAATTGATAAAAAAATCGGAATAAAATTTTATTATTTTTTAGGTTATCCAACTTAACTCGGTTACCATGGTGATTAAGATCCAAATATTGCAGTTGCTTGTCAAAATTGACGTTGAATTTAAGTTTTTTAATGAAAAAAACATAATTAATTGGATTTAAAGGTTGTATTCAATTCAAAATGGGTAAATGGATGAAATTATAAGCAGAGTAAGTGGATTAAATAAAAAAAACTATTTTTAGATCAATTAAAATGTACAAGAATTTAGGGTTAAAACTAGAACTAACACTGGACCTAGAACTAGAAAGTTTTAGATTTAACCGGGCGTCTTAGACAAGAATTTAGAAAAGTCTGAAGATGCACGGCTAAACCCGAAGATTTCTAGTTCTAGGTCTTGTGTTAGTTCTAGTGATAGTATAAGTGTAAAACTAGAAGTACATCTTCAACTGTGTCTTTGGGTTCAGCCGCACGTCTCTAAAGACGGCTAAACCCGAATGATTCTAGTTCTTGGTTTATCGCTGCATAACAACTAAAACTAGAACTAACACTAGACCTAGAACTAGAAAGATTCGGGTTTAGCCGTGCGATTTTCTAGTTCGAGGTCTAGTGTTAGTTCTAGTTTTAGTTCAATAAAAATACACGGTATAGCGATATCTTATGCTAACTAGCGCTATCTATCACCTATCAGCCGTCTTAAAACAAGTACGGCTAAACGGAATGTTTCTAGGTCTAGTGTCAGACCTAGTTCGATTCAGCGCTAAACTGTTGTATATTTTTATTGAGCTGACACTGCGTTTCTCGTATTGATCCGTTGTATCGACGTTTTACTGTAATATCAAATTATATTGACATGGATAAAGTAAGTAGCTACGCTCTGGTTTCTATGGAAGTCGTATAGAAATGTCAAGTTTTCCAAAAACGCCACAGCAGGGGCTTTGCCAGCCCCAGGGATCTTAGGAGAACTTGGGACTGATTGTGTGTCGAAATTCCACCGTAAGATGGCATCAGCGTGTACACTGAAATAATTTAATTAAACTAACAATTTTATTATTAATAATGGGAATGATGAGAGACATTAATAACAATTATTACCAGTATCATTCTTTTAATTTAAAAAGTAGAGATTCCAATTCGTGTTATATTTATAAATTTGCCGCTAACTTCAGCTTTTAAAATTTTAATAGTTGAAGTTTGTTCAGAATGACAGATGAAAACGACATTTTAAAGTGATTTTTCGGTAAGAGTATAATAAAGTAGTAATGGTATGATTAAATAATTAGATTATAAGTGACATTATAGCTTTGTTTCAGTTAACGTTATAACTGGTTAGAAGCTCAATCTCACATGTCATACGATACAGTGATATTCAAATGTGGCAACATTATTTGACAGGTGTAATTGCCATAGGTAATTGCATCTGAGGAATTCCCAACCAGTCGGAACGTTAATTGAAGCCATATAGTGACTCCAAACAGTTATTCTGTGGTTGGAGCTTTTATATATAAACCCAATTCAACCTGTATTCTAGTGGTTCGGTTCTTAGCTGAATAATTCCAAAATATCTCCAACAGATGGCGCCACATGCTTTCAATTTTTTTAGTACGAAGTTTTTGTTTAGAGAGTTGCATTTCTACGAATCTATTTTTTATAGTCTTTGCGGGGGGATACGTTCATAGGGAGTTGGATTTTATACAACAATTTTATACAATTTATTACAGTATGTTTACTCAACGGACCTTGGGTTATGTTTCGCTTTTGATTTGATGTTTAATTGTCATTTAATTTAATTTATGTTAATTCTAAACAATAACATAAATTACAAAGGGTATTTTTGCTCTGTAAGCACTTCTTCACTAAAAATAAATAAAGTTAAAACATTATCATTCCCGTACAACTCCAGATAAACATAACCTGACTTAAAAATCGTTTGGCTTATGTGCGTACTTTCACATAAAGACCATAATATAATTATGAGGAGCAATCCTAAACATTTAAATCACGTTTACAACGTTTGATGAATGTTTTAAAAGTACAAAATCTGACATTACTACAAAAAACTTTTTAAATGACATTTTAAAATGTCATATTTTCAGTGTTACCAAGTCACCATTCTTTCTTATTATAATAACTCCAGATAAACATAACTTAACTTAAAAATCGTTTAGTTTAGGTGCGAAATTTCACATCGAGAGTAAATATAAAATGTTTTAAAAGTAACTCCAAAAAACTGTTTATATGACAGTTTAAAATGTCAAATTTTCAGTATTACCAACGTACAATTCTTTCTTATTAAAATAACATTATTATTTTAATTTGATAATAGAAATTTGTAAATAAAATATAAAAACTTACTTTCAAAAAAATTTCCTTCGTCTTCTTCGTATCCATCAACATAATGCAATAAAAGATCATTAACCGTGTAAGAAAGACCATTTAATTTTGTCACAAAATCAACAGGAATCTAAAAAAAAAGTATATATAATTTTCCTATTACATAATTCGTCATTGGCAAGGTAAAATAATCAACTTGTCTGCATTAAAATTCCCAAGAACTCTATAAATAAACCTAATAAGTGATTCACACACCTGCTTTATAAGATAAAATAATGTTTTGACCAAGAGAAATTCTAACGGAAATAACTTCGAAGATGAAAAATTTAAATTCTTAGAAATAAATTTATTCACTTTGTTGAATCGCGTACGATTGACGCCGAACTGAATCAACTGTATCACTTGGAGGTAGTCACTTTAAGGGGTCATTACCTTTTTTCCTTTTAGGCGAGCTTCCCAAAAACTCATTTCGTTTCGGGTTGGGATCGATTCAGGTAGAACAAGTTTTTAAAATTACAGAAAAAGTAAAAAATATTTAAGAATTTTTTGATGTAGTTTGATATAAATAAATAAACCAAGTTAGAGAGTTAATTTTTTTTCTACAAAAGATTTTTAAACGACCGGTTTTTTAAATAACCTTGCACAATCAATTTTCACTTAATTTAAAACGTATTTAAAAGATAATTAGTAAATTCTTTTTTGTATCACAACCAAACCCACATCCTTACAGAAAATGTGTCATTATTTCCTTTAAAATTAGATTAATATAATTTATTAGATGATTTAAATAAACTTACTTCATTAGAATTAGTATCATTTAAATAAATTTCACTATCATTTCTGATTTGATCGGTCCAATTTCGCTGATTTAAGTTGTCTTGATGATGATGATGATGATGGTGGTGGTAATGAAATCGATTATAATTTAATGGATTAACTTCTTGTGGGCTTTTCGATCTTTCTCCGGGATAAACGATTGTATCAGAAGCTTGTACGTTTTGTAAATTTAACACAAAATAAACAAATATAAAGTAACTTGAAACGGTAATCATTTTCAAGGTTCACCTTTAGACGATTACGGCGCAACTAAAACGCACTCGGCTTGGATTCTTGTGTGTGTTATTTCTTTTGAAACCCCACCTCTGGGAGCTCCGATTAGTAATCAAAAACGCAACGGGATTCCGTGCGTCACCAATTTTTATTGGTCAATTCTTTTGAAATTAGGTGATTTTTATCATTTCATTAGAAAGTTTATTGGAATTTCCCTTTTTATCGTACATATTTACAAAAAATAAATTAATAAAGGAGTGATTTTTTGTTTAATTTGTTGTTAATCATATGATCTCGTTCTAATTTTTTTGTTAAAAAACAAAGAGTTGTACCCAAACAATCAAATTTTCGTAACAATGCTCCGCGCATGGCTGCCACAAATAGTTTGATCGAATCGAGCTTTTAACGTGTACATTTTAGTTGCGAGCCGCAGAGTGTAACAAGCACGTGCAAAGAGTGCAGGTGGTTATAACCACCCTATCACGTGAAATGATATGGTTTCTTAAAACATTTTCGAAAAATTTTCCAATCGTTTATTACATTTTAAGATTATGTTATTCCCTTGAAGAAAACCAATTTCAATTTGATGTTTCAAAGTTATCCACATTAAAACACGGATCTGGTAAATACTTTTACATAAAAAGAATAATTTCGTTTCATCTCCATTTACATAGAATTGGTGTTCTTAGAAAATGGGTTTAAAAACAATAATTCCTACAAATTGGAAGATTTCTTTTGGACCGGCTCCGGGGACTCAGAAGAAGAATTTGAAACAAAAACCTCAATCATTTACGAAACAAAAACTGTCTTATCAACGCTTTTTATAGCATCAACAAACCCACCATCAAATCAGGTCAGTAAAACTTGATCCAATCGAACCAACAACAATATTGACCCATCAATGAACTTAATAGAAAATCATCTTGCGTGATATCCGGTCGTTTACCCCTTTTCTGTAATTATTTGTTTTCAGACTTCGAAGCCTTCAAAATGCATAATAAACTGTTTACCTCCTCATCAACCAAACAGCGATATAAACCCAACCTCAGTCTACGATTACAACACAACCGAAAATTTAGACGCCGACCGCCAATTTTGGCTCTTAACTGTTCTTAAAAGCGATGGAAAAGACCCCGTTTTGATCGATTTAAAGAATAGCTTAGCTAAGCTTTACAAAAAAGCTTTCCAACGGCAACAAGAAAAGCATTTGGGGATAAACAGAAATAAAAGGGATTTGGATTTAGAACAATTCAACGAAACGAATAATAAATTAATCGAGACCAAAGATAAACCCGTTAAAGTTTACATCCACAACGTTGAGAAATCCCCCATTAACGGCGATGAAAAAATCGAAGTTTTATATCACGTCTCCGTTTCCGGACAACCAATTCCCGCAAATACAGCTGCTGATGATATGGCTTTAATTTCCGACGAAGAAGTTATCCAAGAATTGGGTTATCCATTCCTAATTAAAGCAGAACGTAAGAAATTGTCAATTTTTAAATTAATTAATTTCAAAACAACTTTTTAGCTTATTTAAAAGCATCCGAACCACAAAGCTTATCAACATCGAAAAATACATGGTTATTTATCGGGTCATCTTTAGCCGCAGTCTTTTTACTTCTTTTAGCCGTTGCTTTTTTATCACTTTGCATAACGAAAAGAAAAAAATCTCATACAAATATGCGTCAAGTTTTTGACACCCATGCAAAAGAAAACGTTGGTTTTGTTGACGATAAAGACAAAAATAGGAAAGGATCACCAACCTACATCGATTTCCGAACGCAAACGTCGAATGAAACTTTAAGAAGTGTTGATATTAATCGATCGAGGAGTTCAATTAGTTCAATGAGTGTTAGTTCGAGTAGTTTGGATGTTTCGCCTTTAATGAGGGCGAAACCAAAACAGTTTAGGGGAAAACCCACGAATAAAACTGTACCTCTTAATTTGGTGAAATATAGAAGTTCTTTTGGTGATTCTGATAGTAGCGAGGATCTAAAAAGATCTGAAAATGAATCTGGGGTGATTAGTCCTAAATCTTATTTGTCAATGCCCTCAGTAAAATCATTTCCAAAGTAATTTAAATAATTAAAAAAGTATTATTTAATAATTATTTATTTTAGATGTAACATTCCAGAGCCTTTAAGTAAAGTTTTAGAACCAGTTAGTGTTCTTCATTTAGATTTAATAGATGATCAAGATCAACCGGATAAAAATTATTTTAAACGACATGGAAGTTCTTGCGAAGATCCCGGTGTTATCGGCCCGGTTGTTTGGAGTATTCACCAACAAAAAATACAACATGGTAATTTCTTTTATAAGAAAATATTGCTCTAAAATAATAATTTTTAGGGGTTAGCGTTGATGAAGGAATCGACGAACTAAAAATTGCTAATAACGTAGCTCGAATGAGGAAAAGATTCCACGATCTCCTCGACGACACATTCAGCTTATTCGGAAGTAGAAGAGACAGTCCAATTGATGATCAACGAGCTGCTTTATCCGAAATTAAAAGCCATTCAGCTATAAATAAGTAAAAAGTTGCTAATTTAACTTCAACTTAAATGTAATCGAAAAATTTAAGTCGCCTTCCAGATGAAAATCAATCGATGAAGCCTCGTCCAAAAACATCGGATCCTAGAAGACCTCCAACGGGGGCCCATGTAGAACCCCGAGGAGCTTGGGATAGCCACGCTCCATCACCTTTAGCGCGGCCTTTAAGTGCTGGGGTTTTAAGACAACAACCGAAAATTGATGTGGCCCATATTTTAGCTGAGGGACAATTCAAAACGAACGATCCAGCTGTGCCTTTAATCGCTGCTATTAAAAGTGAAATTGGAAAGTGTTCTTTACCTGGAAGTACAACCAATTTAGTTGGGGATCAAAATTAAAAAGTTTCAATCGTGCAATAACCAAATAATTATTAGTACATATATAGAACGTTAATTAAATTACACCCTCAATTTTATATTCTTTTTTATTAATATATTATGTAATAATTAATAATTAAGTAATAAATCGTTTTTATAATCTAATCTTGATATCAACTCCATCTATTGAGCTATACAAGAACTTTACCATGAAACGTCACAAATGTCAAAATGACGGCTAACCTCAAGGTCCGCTGTTGTTATGAACGTATCCCCCCGCAAAGGCCTTAATGTGACGTCATTGAAAGAATTGACATTTCTATGTTTTTATTTATACAGTGTATTTCAATTAAGAAGCAATATACAAAAATATAAAAAAAATATTAAAATATAAAGCGAAAAATTAACGCTTATAATTTTATTATTGTTAGGTTATCCAACTTGACACAGTTACCATGGTGATTAAGATCCAAATATTGCAGGTGCTTGTTAAAATTGAAATTGAATTTAAGTTTTTTAAGGAAAAAGTTCTAGGTCTAGTGTTAGTTCTAGTTTTACACTAGCACTATCACTAGAACTAACACAAGACCTAAAACTAGAAACTGTCAAAAAAATACTTTAAAATGAATCCAAACTCGACATATTTAACTTTAATATTAATGGAAATTCCATCACTTCCGGTTTGAAACGTCAACGTCAATTTTGACATATTCGTCATCTTCATTAAAAAACCTTTAAAATGAATCCAAACATGACACACTTATCTCAAAAAACAAAAAAGTTTGAATAAAAAAACGTTAACCCCGAAGTTAGCAACAATGAAGATAGCAGTTTAATTATTAAATATTAATACCAACCTTAATTTTTATTTTTTTTTTATTGTGTTTTTGGTTTTGTGATAAATTTTAAGACATTTTCTAAAAATTAAGAATTTGTCAAAATGACATTGACATTTCAAACCGGAAGTTGCTTATATCTCGACTAATATTAGAATTAAACGTATCATGTTTGGGCTCATTTTAAAGGATTTTTCACGACAATTACAAATATGTCAAAATTGACGTTGACATTGATAACCGGAAGTTGACCATAACTTCATTAATATTGAAGATAAATATGTCGTGTTTGTACTCATTTTAAAGGATTTTTAATGAAGATTACAAATATGTCAAAATTGAGGTTGACATTTTAAA